CACTCACACACTCTCTCTCTCACACACTCACACACACACACTCTCACTCGCACGCACGCACACACACACACTCTCACACACACACACACACACTCACACACACACACACACTCACACACACACACACACTCACACACACACACACACTCACACACACACACACACTCACACACACACACACACTCACACACACACACACACTCACACACACACACACACTCACACACACACACACACTCACACACACACACACACTCACACACACACACACACTCACACACACACACACACTCACACACACACACACACTCACACACACACACACACACACACACACTCACTCACTCACGCACGCACGCACGCACGCACGCACACACATACACACACACCCACCCCTCACTGTCTGGCCTGTTTGTAACGTCTGGTGCTGTTTCTGCTGTTGCTCCTCCGCTCCTGCAGGAGGCGCTGCAGTGCGTCTGTGAGCTGAGATGCTCGTCTCTGCTGTCTGTGTTCGTTCGGACGGGAATCGAGTCGACGCTGGAGCGCAGCACCATTGCTAGAGAACACATGGGTTTACTGTTTCACCAGCTCGTCAAAACACAAACAATGTCCACACAACAATACTACAAAGGGTAAGACGTCTTCATAATGTTTGTGTGTTTTTGTAAATGTATTTATTTTTTATTAATATTTTTTTTAATACGTCTATGTAGTTTTTATTAACTTTTATTTTTGGTCAGTTTTATGTATTTATTTTATTTATCATTGATAAATTTTAGTTTTTGTTGATATCTTGATTCGATTTTTTTAAATATATTTTCTGGTGTTTTTTTTGTAGTCTTTTTTTAGTTCTATTTGACAGGTTTTTTTCTATATTTCATATTTGTTTTAAGAAAAATGTTTTTATGGTTTTATATATAGATTTTTTATTTTATTTTAGAAGTTTTAGAAATTTTTATTTTAATTATAATTTTTATTTTGTTTTATTTGTCACGTTTTTTCATTTCATTTCACATTTATTTTCAGAAAAATATTTTTTATGGTTTTATATATATATATATATATATATATATATATATAAGGGGTGGAACGGTACACAGATGCACGATTTCGGTACAACAGGAAAAAAACGAACAAATCTACTATGCTCGGTTTCTTTTCATTTATCTTGAACAGACAGTAGTACAAATTAAAAAATGTTCCACCTAGATGTGAAAATACTAAATATTATTACATTGTTATATATATAAAATCTGCAGTACATATATACATACAAGGAATAAATTCTTGAAATATATTTGATTTAGTTTACAGATAAACAAGAGAAAAAACAGTGCGACACGTAACGTAGCCTATATACGCTGAGTTTCAGTTCATCTTTGTGACGCTTAATTTGTTCACAGAAAGGAAACTCAAATGGCAGAAAGCCACATCCTATTTGTTTTCTTTATTTTACAAAAGCACAATGTTTTGTTTTCATTGTGAGTGTACACAACTAAAAGCAGACCTTTATACAGTGATGCATTATTAATAAGACAATAAGTGTTTAAAGCTGATTCCGCTGTATAAGGAAACAGTTGAAGTGATCGCGCCGACTCACACACACACTCACTCACACACACACACACTCTCACACTCACTCTAACACTCACACACACACACACTCACTCACACACACACTCTCACACACACACACTCACACTCACACTCACACACACAC